GAGAGAGAGAGAGAGAGAGAGAAAGGGAGATATCTAAAGTTTTCTTATTATAATTATACAATATATTGCTCGCTTTTATAAGTATATTATGATATTTGTATTAAATATTGTAACGTACCCCGATATAAATGGTTTTGTCACACCATATTCGTGTTTATAGATTGCGTTCACTGTTCCTATGTTTATCTCATCACATTTGTCGAATACGATTCGACCTTTTGAATATATGATACTGCTTTTTCGCAGTAATTCTGTGAATTCGTATCGATATATACGCACATATATACATACATGCGCACACACTTTAATATATAATGCTATTTTCAGACTTTGTGTAACGTTTTCATATGAATCTTATTTACATTAGTAACTCTTTACTATTTTATCTATTTTATCTATTCTATCTATTTACATTAATGAATATTCAAACAATATTTTCAATTTTTGATAAAATTAGATTTGCAGAATCCAATAACAAGCGATTTTATATTATTATTTTTTTGTTGCAAAAATAATATTAAAAAAAAATAGTATAAAAAATGTTGCAAAAATATTATATTTTTCAAACTTTTGATACGCTTTAATTTTAAAATTTCTTAAATAATATTTCCATGAAGATTAAATTTAAAAAAATCATCTCTTCTACTTCAAAAAAGTAATTTTTTTTATAAAAATAGTACTTTAGTAAAAAATAATTTTAGTATTTCTGTAAATATTTTTTATTTTTAGTTGATTCATATTTGGTAGTCAACATCATCTTTCAAATACACATTAAATATATAATTGTAATTATTTACAGTTTTATAAATTTATTTTATTTTATTTGCGAAAGATTTTAATCAATATCACATTAGAAAGTATAAATATTACGCGAATTATGTGTAGTTACATTTTTCTATACCCACGAGAAAACCGATTTGGTTTAACGTATCCGTGTTGCGCATAAAAATGTTTATTTACCATTGTAGATGGACGATCCGTTAATTTCACGTATAGATTTGACGGGCGATTACTCAGCTTGTTAAGAAACAACTAGAAGATCGATATCACTTATTTCACGCTTAATACGTTTTTAGTGTGTCACAATGATACGTGGGACGTGTGTTTTTACAAATTGCGTCATTTAATCTTGCGAGAATTGCTTCCAATAATTCTGAAAAAAAGAAACAAAAAGCTATATATCAAAATTGATATATGTTTAGTTATAGATGAATAAACTTTATTTAATAAAACAAATAGAAAAGTTAAGGATATAAAACATAATTTATGCTTGAATAAAATATAATTAATGAAATAATTTTAATATTAACATTAAAATTTATAAATGACTAATAATGTTAATAAAATGAAAATAATTACAATTGATAAATTAATTTAATTAATTAAATGTAATAATATAATATAATATTATATTTATCAAATCTGTCGGAGAAAGACGGAAGTAAAAAGAGAAATAGAAAAAGAGAGGAGAAAAGAAAAAGAGAAAGAAGAGAAGAAAAGAAAGAATATAGGGAGAAAGGGAAAATGGTAAGGAAAAATAAAAAATGATGCAAATTAATTAAGTTATTAGTCATTAATCACTATTTTTATTATAATATTATACACTATGTTAAAATGTTTATTATTGTAATCAAGGTTGACATGAAAGGGGTTTTTGCACGAGCCTTTCTTGCGCCTAAATACTCACAATCAGTTATGTTGACGTCACGTGCCAATTTAAACAGCGTGTTGGCCGATATCATACGCTTATCAACGTTGTGTAGATATTTAAACTACGATTTTACAACCGGCAAATAGATGCCTGTTCTTTTTTTAACAAGAGGATCATGTTGCACCTTTTTCGCCATAATCTCATCGCGGCGCCGTTAGGAAAACGGTTGTAATCAATTTTAATTGCACGTTCTCTCGACTTCAACTTCCGTTGCGAAAACTCCGTAAGGATGCCGACATTATGCGACTTTATTGCATGATGATTAACAAACCTGCAGTTTCTTACGGAGTACCGTATAATCATTATTTCGATCTTTGAAGAATAATGATTTAATATCAAAATCTTTTTAAACTTGGCTATTTTGGTTTTTGCTAAATATAGCAAATACATATGCTGTATGTTTTAAAATTGCTTTCTGGAATTAACTACAGTTAATTCTACAATTGAATAGTATCTTTATATAGTTCGTGTACTTTTATGAAGTTTTGCGACTTCATAAGAATATTGATAAATTGAATATTTGATTTAATTGATGTAAACATTTAATCTAATTGAAAACTTTAATAAAAGACAAGTTATTTTAACGTAATATTAATTTGTTTCAAATATATTTTTTGTTGCATTGAATTACGCTCATATTATTATTTGATTATTATAAATTATATAATATACTATAATACTAACACTCATATTATTTTATTATTATACATTATAATTTGAATTTATAATTTGAATTATATAAGATAATTGATGTAATTTTAAACTTAATTTGATTTAATGGTTTTTTAAATAATTATTTAAAAATTTTAAACGTAATATTAATTTGGTAGCTTCCCACAATAGATCAGTTTTTATTTAGCTTTACAGTAGCTCTGAATTCTATATAATAAATATTATAATTATTTAGCTATAAAACTATTTATCATTTAATCATTATTTTATAGAGATAAATTTTCTTTATAATAATTTATAATATGTTGAGTTTGATATTGCTATAATTAATATGCTAAATTTCGATTTAACCCTTTCGTGCCTGGTGGCACATATATCTAGGTAACTGCCAAATCTTTAAAAATTCTTATCTTTTATAAAAATAAAGATAGCAACTTCTTCCTGGACTTATTTTAAAGATTAAGAGAGTCTCTTGACGTTAAGAGAGACTCTTGACAAAAAAATCACCTTCGGAGTTTCTCCTTTAATCTGCATACTTCGTTAAAAATTCGTATAATGAGATAAAAGTGAAAATTTTTCACAAAAATTAAGATAGCGAGTTCTTTCTGGTTTCTCATTTTGAATGTCAACATAAGGGCTATATATTAAAAAATCACTATTTAATTCCAAAATAAATGACGGATTTAATATATACGCGCGCGCGCGTAAATCAATTAAAGTTCTGCAGAAAAAATATCTACACCAACACACGCGCGGGCGTATGTATACATATATGAATATATAGAGTGTTAAAAAAATCATTCAGCATTTACATGGTAGATAGTACACACTATACTGAGTAACAAAACCTTAGTGAATATAGGCCGAAAGCTCAACCGTTTCTGAGATATAAACATTTTTGTATGATAGCATTTTGTACATTCGGCGTAAAAATGTTGCGCAGCAGAAGCATTTTCATTAACACGATCATCCATAAATGTTTATATCTCAGAAACGGTTGAGCTTTCGACTTATGTTTACAAAATTTTTTACTTATTGTCAATATAGTATGTACTATCTACCCTGTAAATGCTGAATGATTTTTTATAACACCCTGTATAATACACTAATTGTAAGACAAACGGAAATTTATTAAAATTAATTACCATTGTTATTTTGTGAACACTGTAAAATGAATTAAATGCTATTCTGTAGAAGAAAATCGGTAATTTTTATTATTTTTACATAATCCAAAAAGAATTGTACACGGAGAGAATTTTTTTTTTAATTTACCCTGCAAATTATGTTAATTGTGGGACAATATAGTATTTAGGCAAATTTTACTGTGCACTATAATAAATTTTAATGTATTTCACTACTGTAAAATTTATTGTAGTGCACAGTAAATTTTGCCTAAATACTATATTGTCCCACAATTAATATAATTTGCAGGGTAAATTAAAAAAAAATTCTCTCCGTATATGTATTTGTAAAAATAAATAAACAAAAAAATTAAAATTTGAATTGGTTGCATGACTCATATACTGTCTCTTATACACATCTCTGAGCGGGCTGGCA